ATTTTGATCCGTTTCTTCATTTAAAGTTTGAGAGTCCTTGGAAACTGAAAATTTGCGTTTTTTGTACCTATAAAAAACGTTTATCAGTAAAATCCGCGTAGAGATTTATTTTCAAATGTACATAAAAGGCGTTGAGCCAAAAAACCAAAAATCCAATACAAATTGCCAAACCAGCGGAAGAGTGCGGTTTCTTCGATGTCAGTATTTTGACGAGCGTCTGATATCACTAGAATGCCCCACATTTGTTTTTCCTTTAGTTGAAAAAAGTACCTCTCTTTATTGAATAGAAGTCGAGATATTTGCGATTGAAGAAGGTGGGTGGTTTAAGATGTAATAGTGAGAAAATGGTAGTCAAAAGTTTGGTTACTTCCAAAGCTTGAGTGTCCTAGGAAACTGGAAATTTACATTTTGTTGTGCCTTTAATCTATGTTTATCAACAAAATCGGCTCAGAACAAAACCCAAACAGAAAGGTGTTTTTGAATAGACATAAAAGGTGTTAATCGGAAAGAAAAATCGATAAAAATTGCTTTATGGGCGGAAAATGGGTTTTTTTTCGATATCAGTATTTTGACGAGCGCTTGATTTCCCCAAGAAGCAACATACTATGCGAGGCATCATGGTGAGATCAGGGGCTCGTCAAAATAATGAAACTAAAGCCAAGAAACTAGCATTTTTTTAAACTGGTTTTGGGATTTTTATCAAACTTTTGCTTTTTGGCTCCACACCTTTTATGCACATTGAAGAACACATTTCTGTGTGGATTTTTTTTTTTTTTAAACGTTGATTAAAAGCATTAAAAAATGTACGTTTCAGTTTCCACGGACTCTCGAGCTATGGAAATTACTCAGCTTTGGCCACCATTTTCTCGCTAATTTTACCTCTGAAACCAAGCAACTTCCATCTCCTTCAATCGTCAATATCTTGACTTGTATCCAAGACAAACAGATATTTTTTTCACCAAAAGCCAAGTAATTAAGATGATACCTTTTTCTCCATAAGCCCCACAATTGACCAGCGCCTGATTCCACCGTGTCGCGACACATATGGAGGTGTCCAGACGTTTATAAACAAGATACGGTCAAGAGGTTAATTTGGGGTATTTAACCGTTGTGCGAAATTGCACAGTTGTGGAAAGAAATAATAAATAATAAATAATACATAATAAAGAGTCAGCACAAAGAGGTAGGCGTCGTCGGTACACAGCTGATGCTGATATATTATACATATTGCTCATGATAGAAACCATGACTTACGTCGGCTTTCCATCGTTTCCAACATTAGAGTGTAGAGTATACAGTAGCATTGGTTCATCCCGCACTTCAAGCTGTTGGACTCCATTGCAGAAAGGTGCCCATTGCCAGTCTGCAGGATGTAAGATAAAAAGCCAAATGATACAAAGTTGACTTTTCTCATCCTCTCACATGGATAAATTAGGAGTACAAGATCTAGGGCGGAAAGGAACTGAGGTCAACTGTTGTGTTTGTGAAGCTGTAAAGAATGAATGAATAATAATAATAATAATAATA